TCTTTCTTTCTTTCTTTCTTTCTTTCTCTCTCTCTGATTCTATTTCTCCATCTGTCTCTGTCTCTGTCTCTCTCTTTTCTCTTATACATCTTGTAAAACGAGAACTCCTTACAAGATCCTTCCCCCTTCATGCCAGTGTGCCATGGTTCTGACCTACCTGTGACTTTGGATGAGATGTCCCAGGAACATCTCCTTGCTGGGCTGAAGGACCTGCCAGCTTCTCTCAGTGAAAGCAGCGTCAGCAAAGCAAACACCTGTTGAGCCTGGCCAAGCCCCCTCCTGGACTGCTGCTGTTGTGACTGTGGTGATCAGACCAGGTCATCAGAACCAGATCCCCCAAGGCCATGTAGGGAACCGGATCTGAAGAGGGAGCATCTGGCTACGCTGGCCAAATTCAAAACCAACTCTAAAGTTTCCATCCAAGAGGCAAAAAGGAAACCACGACTGCTAGAAAAGAAGATAGAAAGAGTCATTAGAAACACAGGGCTGCTCACTCACTGTGGCGTCCTGTGAGGAATCCTGCCAGTTTGAGGGGCAGCCTGGGAGCAACACCCCCTGGAAGGAGGCCAGAAGCCCTGTTAGGAGCTCAGCAAGGGGCTGTTTATTCAGTGACTCCAGGAAGAAGATACCCTACAGAGATATGTTTTATTACTGGATCAAATAGAAAAGCATGTAAAGTAATAGAAGGGACCATTTTAACTACTTTGTATGTTCTTCTCTGTGTACTTATCGTTTCCTCGGAAAGCATGTTAGTTCCTTGAGAGCAAAGACTTTTGTTTTTATATCTCTAGCACCTAGCACAGTGCCTGGTACACTGTAGGTGCTTAATAAGTGCTTGCTAATTTATTAATTTGTCCCAACCCATGACATGGCAGTGTTGCATTTATGTGAGTATCACTGCAAGTAAATATAATGCTGGACTTAAGATGTTAGACAGACCTGAGTTCAAATTCTGTTTCAAGTTATTACTGTTGGGTAACCCTGGGTAAATCATTCAACCTCTGTGAACCGCAGTTTCTTCATCTATAAAATCAATGGAGATAGTGCCCACATTTCAATAAGTTGTTGTGAGAACTAAACAAAATAACACATATAAAGGACTTTGCAAAATTTAAAGCAATATATGAAGCTGTTATTATGAAAATATATTATGAAAATAAGACCAACAGTAATATCAACTCTCATTTCCATGGTGCTTTTAGGTTTACACAAAACACTTTTCTCATAAAATCCAGGGAAGTAGGTGGCATCAGGACTCTTATCCCCATTTCATGGTGTTCATGAAGCTGGGAAGTCTCAGAGACGAGATCTGATTTGAGGGGGTATGAATGGCCTACATGTCGTTGTTGTTGTTCAGTCATTTCTGTCATGTCTGACCCCTTGTGACCCCATTTGGGATTTTCTTGGCCAAGATACTGGAGTGGTTAAGTAAGAGCAGTTAGACTTTGCTTGGCCTCGGAGGGCTAGTGATGATGGTGGTGGTAGAGAGAGAGATGCAGAGGTAGATTTTGGTTTGACAAAGGGAAAACTTTCTAACCCATGGAGTTGCCCCAAGTGGAGTAGACTTAGGAGTATGGAGGCTCTCTACATCCTACGAGCTCTTTAGGAGGATGATTGAGGGACTCCTGTTCAGGAAGGGGTTCAGTACCTTCTTGAGTTCCCTTTCAGTTCTTAAAATTTATGATCCCATGTCTTCCAGTCCACTGCCCTTATCACTATACCATACTGTTTCTTCTTTTAAAAAGACAAAAAGCCATGTAAGGTCTTAGTTTGATTCCTATTCTGTGGAAAATAAAGCAACATAATGAATTGTATGCTGCACATTGTTTTTGGGGGGAAGGGGCAAAGCCAGTTTAAACACTGCTTCCCCAAAATGGATGCTGATGATGGAGAGAGCATGGCTAGATTCACTCAATGGCAGTAAGGAATGAGCTGTGAATCCTTTCTCCAATCTGAACCTCAGTTTCCTCCTCAGTAAAATGAGGGAGTTGGGTGGGCTACATGGGCTCTTAGGATCCTGTCAGTTATGACAATGAGAAGCACTGGGGTATTGTGAATAACATACTAACTCCAGAGGCAGGAGACTTGTCAGTGGTGGGCTGGTAAATGTTTAACAATCAGCTCTCTGGAAATAAAAGTCCACAAGACACTTTTAAGCTTAATCTGCATCATTACTATTTTCTCCATTACTTTCTTAAGCTTGCATGATCAGCTAAATAATAATTCAAGTCCTGATTTGTAGTGTTTGTTGATTTCTAATGTTTACACTAATATTTAATGATAGTATCAAGAGCAGGTTTCATCACAACCTTGCCTGTGTTCAGAAGTCCCTGTTCTCAGACACTTATTAGCTGTGTAACTTGGTATCAAGTCAGTAAACTTCTGTTTCTTTATCTGGAAAATGTAGATAATATACCTACTTTACAAGGTCATTGACGGGTTCAAATGAGATGACATATATTAAGTGCTTTGCTAATTTTAAAGGTACTGTATAAATAATAGTTATCATTATTTTGTTCTATGGTCTTCTTTAGGGCAGTGATAGTCCTGAAGTCAGGAAGACTCACCTTCCTGAGTTCAAATCTGGCCTCAGACACTTATTAGCTATGTAACCTTGGGCAAGTCACTTAACCTCGTTTGCCTTGTTTCCTCATCTGTAAAATGAGTTAGAGAAGGAAATGGCAAACCACTCGGAGAGTCTTTTCCAAAAAAACCCAGATAGGGTCACAGAGAGTTGGACATGACTGAAAAAAATGACTGAACAACAAAAAAGTCTCTTTTGGTCTTGACATTCTACGCTCTATGTTCGAAGGGGCCCTTCTAACTCCGACATTCTATAGTCTTGTTATTCACCTGAAAAGCGATGGAGTCAGGAAATAAGAATAGCATGAGAAATGTCTCAGACTTGCTGAGCCCCAAGCAGACTTTAACATACAGTATGGTGTTGGGGATTGTTAATCAAATATATATATATATATATATATATATATATATATATTTGGTTATATGTATGTATATATGCATATATATCACAAGTCCATGAGACATGTGATTAATGAATGTAAAGACAATAATAATAATTCCTCAAGTGTGTATGGGGAGTCACAAAACATCATCACATCTGTTACCTCCATGGACTTTCACAGCAATTCCAAGAGGGAAACAGGACATGGATTATCATTCCCAGTTTAGAGGGAGAAACTGAAGCCCAGACAAGGGGACGCTCCCAAGATCACGTGGCTGGTAGGTGAGTTAGATGGTATTAGAATTCAGATCTATTGACCCCTAGATACAGTGGTGGCCAAAACATACTGGCTTGGGTCATCTGAATGTTTTTGCCAATAATAATTACAGTTATAATTATGATCATAGCTGAAATTTCTGTAGCACTTTACAATCATTACCTTATTTTGTCTTGACAATGACCTTAGGTGGTAGGTAAGGCAAATATTATTATCTCCATTTTACTGATGAGGAAACTGAGGTTCAGAGAAATGACATGATTTGTCCATAGTTGCACAGCAAATAAGTACCAGAACTCTGGTCTTCTGACTCTAAATCCTGTGCTCTTTCCAGCACACTAGCTGCCTCTGCCAGAGTGTGTGTGCATTTGCTTTTAAGTATAAAGATCTGTAAAATGAGGGGACTGGACTAGATGACCTGTAGGACCCTTTCCAGTTCTAAGTGAATGATCATAAGATCATTACTGTGATTAATCAGCTAATTTACATGTTAAAAGACACTACTGACTTGTATGTCAATAGTTCACATAAACAGCAGAGTGAGAAAAAAAATAGTTTACTACTGAGTATTTCAGAATTTCCTCAACCTACCAGCTCCTTCTCTTCTTCTTCAGAAAACTGCTTTTGTCCCTTTCTTGCATCCTCTGCTTATATCTCCTTTTATCCTTTCTCTTTGCCTTTCGTCTTTTGTCATTCTCTCTTCTCCCTATTCCTAATCCAAAAATGTGATTGATTTCAACAAAGGCTTCATGCTATGAAATGATTTTGGCTTCAATAGGGTGGCACAGTGGATAGAGCTAGGTGCCTGGAGACAGGAAGAATGGAGTTCAAATATGGCCTCAGATACTTATTAACTGTGGGACCCTGGGCAAGTCACTTAACCCTGTTTGCTTCACTTTCCTCATCCGTAAAATGAGCTGGAGAAGGAATGGCAAACCACTCTAGTATCTTTGCCAAGAAAACCCCAAATGGGGTCACGGAGAGTCACACATGATTGAACAGCAATAAAATGTGTTAAATTATTGACTGAAGTCTTAACACTCTCTGACCTTAACCTAAAAGCAGAGAATTTAACCTTTTCTATCTTAGTTTTTTTTAATAACACTAAAAAAATGTAGTCTTATTCCCTCATTTTTACAGATGGGAAAATTGAGGTTCACAGAAGTTAAATGCCTTGCCTTTAGTCACATAGGCATCAGAACCAGAGTTCTAACATTACATCAGTTGTGTCCCAAGTTACTATTATCCTACCCCATGGAGGTTCATCTAAAATATGAATCTTTGCTCCCCTAGAAGAGGTGGGTCTTTCAAGAGAAGTTTGCTCCAGAATATCGATTAGCTAGAAAACACAGGTCTAGTTTCTATTTCACTAAATGAGTTATTAAGTTTCAGCCTAGTTTTCTGGACCATCCAATAGCCCCAAGGGCCTGCTTTGCCAGCCATTGCCCTCTGGAAAATGAAATGGATGTCTAAAAATACAGACTTTAATTATCAGCTGATTTTGAATAGAGAAAACTTCTTGATGACTTTAATCTTTGACTCCCCTCAGGGAGTCTAGAGTAAGAGTAATTATCTTATTAGATGTAGGAATTAGAAACTTCAATGAAGAGGAGAGAAGAAGCCAGAAGGAAACTCAAGTGTCAATTTCCGCTTTTGACTGCTGTCTGTTATCAACTGAAAGGTGATTCATAGGGACCGTTCAAAAGCATTGAAGCATTACAGTCACAGGGAGAAAGATTCCTCATACCTTCATGGCAAACTTCAAGCCAAACCTTATCTAAGCTGGAAGTCTACCCTCTTAGAATTGAAGGAAGGAGGAAATGGGACACCTGGGTCCTGCTCCAGCCCTAATTTTTGGTGTTACACTAAGCAAATCACTTCACTCCCTCTCTGAGATCCCTTCCAGCTTTGACAAATAGGCAAGGCAGGTCTGAGACTTAAAAGGATAAGGAGGGAGAGAAGGAAGCAGAGCAGTTCTATGTTGAGGTTAAATGCTTACTTCAAATTAAGTAAAGGAAGGATAATAGAAAAGTAGGAATTAGGCTCTCCAGGAATTGCAAAGTTAGAAGAGGCTTCAAAGGACATCTAGCCTAACCTTTACCTGACCAGGAAGCCTGTCTATATCATTCTTGACAAATATTTATATTTATTTTTCACTTAAAGACATCAAGGGACAGAGGGATTACTATTCCTCTTCCATTTTCAAACAGGCTTGTCAGGAAGTTTTTCCTTAGGTTGAGTTGAAATCTACTTCCCTGTAATTGTTTCTCTCTCTTTCTCTCTCTCTCTCTCTATCTCCTTGACTCCCCCTCCCCCTTCCCCCCCTCACCCCCCCCATCCCCTGTTCCCTTCTCTGGGCCACACAGAAAAAGAAAAATCCCAGGACAATGTTTCCCCTACTTGTCTTGTCTTTGGACTTCCATTTTCTCTTTTATAAAACAAGAGGGCTGGGCCACACGATCCCTAAGGGTTTTTCCAGGCTTGCCACTTTTGGTCAACTTTCCAAGTGCATTCTCTTCAGAGTTTTATTATTCCCATTTTACAAATGAGGAAACTAAGACCGTCCCCCCTCCCCAAAACTAGCCATGGTCACACTGCGAGGCCGAATTGAAGTTAGAATTCAGTTCTCCTGACTCATCTTTCCACAACCTTCGCTTGGTTAATTTAACCTGAGGATAAAAGGTGTCTCAGTTTTTCCATCTATAAAATAAGAGGGTTGGATGAGATCCCCTAAGTCCCTCCCGGCTCTAAATCCTGTGATCACTAAGATCGCTTCCAGCTCTAAGCCCTACAAAATGGATGGTTTGTAAACTGTGCCTTGTTTTTTCTAAAATCCAAAGGAAGCCATAGACTGAGCCCGCCCTGTTCTCTTTGAGGTCTTACCTGAGCAGCGAAGAAAGGGAAAGTCAGCGTGGGGGATGGGGATGGCGAGAAGGTGGAGCGAGGGGATGGCTGCTTAGCCTCAGGCTTTCCGAGAGTGGGGCACAGCGGCTTAGGAGGGAGCGGTGAAGCTCGGGGTACAGCGGCCCCCCTCTTTGCCGCTGGGGTCCCGAGATCCTCCCTGGGTCCGGCTCTCCCAGGCCAAGGCCTGTCTCCTCCCTGGCGGATCCTGTAGCCTATTTTTTGGGGGGGGGAGGGAAAAGGGGGGGTTCAACTCTCCCGAGCAGGGGACCAGCCCTCCACTTCTCTCCTCCCCCTCTGCCGCCCCCTCCTCTCCAACTCAGCCAGGTTCGGGGGAAACAGCCCGGAGGTGGACGAACGTCCGAGCTCGAGCACTGTTTGGTAGTATTCTGCAAACACAACCCATCCCTCCTCCCCGTCTCTGCCCTCTCTCCCCTCTCCGCCTCTCCTCCTCCTTCCTCCCCCTCTCCGCCCCCGGTCCATTCCAAATCTCTTCGGAGAAGGTTCCCGGGATTGGAATTTCAGAGCTGGGAGGGGGAGGGGGAGGGAGAGGAAGAGGAAGGGCGGGAGAGATGACTATTAGGGAATTAGGGAGGGAAGGAGGGAAGACTGGGGAGACTGAGGGAGCTGGGAGAGAGAGAAGATTGGGAGGAGGAGAGGGAGGGGCAGCGGGTAGGGATGGGGAAGAAAGGGGATGAAGGTAGGAGGAGGGGAAAGGGCCCATTTCATCCGCCTGCTTTACTATGGGGTGTCTGCATGCAAACAGCAGCAGACTGCGCCCAGAAGAGGAGCAGGGCAGGCTCTGGGCGGGGGGCAGGGGGGGAGAGGGGGGAAGTCTCCCATGTTCACCCAGTGGCCTTGGTGTTTCTTAGAAGCCTTCAGGGACCATCTTCTAGAGAATTAATATTGTACCAGGCAACTTTAGACTCCTTCCCTTAGTTCCCTCAGGGTTAGCTGATGGGTGTAAGACTATTAACCAGAAATTACCTCATCAGACCCAGAAACACTACAGCCAGAAGTGTCCTAGAGACTATCTAATCCAACCCCCTAATTATACCAAAGAAGGAACGGAGGACCAGAAAGGGGAAAGGTCTATTTCCCTTGTATCCAACCTAAATCTTCTCTGAAACTTCCATCCCTAGATCTTACTTTGGCCCTATGGGGACAAACAGAACAGGTCTAATCTATGAAAACTCCTCAAACAGTTGACAGATATCATATACCCTGATCAAATTTAGCTCAGAAATCTCCTGCCAAGAACCCAGACATTCTTTCTCTCAGTTCTGGACTCTTTCCACTGCTCCAGATATCTTGACTTGTCCCATTCTGTTTGTTTGTATTTTAAACGCCTTTAGCTTTAGTTTCTCCCTCTCCCCTTTAACCCACCCCCCACCCCTCCACAACCCCCTCCACCTGTCCCCTCCCTCCCCCAATCCCAGTGCTGGGCACATAGTAGGTGCTGCTTGAAAACCTGGTGATTGACTTACTTTTCCTCTTCAGAGAAATGTTAAAGAAAAAAAATCTACTGGGGCCACTGAGAAGAAATACACATCACAGGAAAGACAAAATAGTATTGTGGGAGGAGCCCTGGACTTGTAGAAGACCTGGGTTTTAATCTTTTTGCTGTCAATGTTAATTTGAGCAAGTCTCTTCTCTCTGGGACTCAATTTCCTAATCTGTAAAATGGGGTAATAATGCATATGCATTATTCTCTGGGTAGTTGTGAGGGAAGCTAAATGGGACAGATTACTGTTATAGTCTCAAGAGTTCCCTTAGCACCTTGTCGGAGGGTGTCATAAGATACTCACTATGAAAGAGGTCAGACCTAGAGTGGACACTGACTATGACCTGGCCTTACTAGCCTTCTATTCTCTAATCCACCATGTTCTAAAAGTCTCTTTCACAATGAAGCAACAACAGAATCACAGAATGTCAAAGGGGCCTTTGAGATTATCTCTTACAGTTCTCTACTTTTGTAGAATGGGTGACTGAGGTCCAGGAATGGGGAAAGGACTAGATGGGCAGAAGCCATGGAAGGAAGTTAAACAGAGGCTGATTTTGATTCTATGTAAGGATCTATGTATGATTTTGATTCCTAACAACGAAGGTTGTCCTAAAGTGAAATAGTCTCCTTTGGGTGGTAGTGAGTTCCCTATCCTTGGAGGCTGAGTGACTACTTGTCAGGGGTGTTAAAGAGGGGATCCCTGCTCACATATAGGTTGGACTTTGAGGTGCTTTGCCACTTAGAAATTCTGTGACTTGCTCAAGGTAACCTGGAAAGTGGCCGAGAGTCTTCTGACTGTGAATGCAGGATTCTTCCACCTCTTTTACAGCTTCTTCTCACTCTACACTGTTATTTTTTTGGGGAGGGTGAGGCAATGGGGTGAAGTGACTTGCCCAGGGTCACACAGTTAGTAAGTGTTAAGTGTCTGAGGTCAGATTTGAACTCAGGTCTTCCTGAATCCAGGGTTGGTTCTCTATCCACTGCGCCACTTAGCTGCTCACTCTATTCAAAGTCCTAGACTTGCAGGGAGGAGCGCTAAGACTTTTGTCCTTGTTTCGCCACCAACCCAATTTGTGAACTTGGGCAAGCTCCTCCCATTCTTTGAGCCTCAGTTTCCCCATCTGTAAAATGAGGGAGTTTGTTTCAAAGGTCTTTCTCAGCTCTAATGTATTAGTATAGTATTTCCACTTTTCTTTAAAAGGTATTAGTGCAAGATGAGTGGGGGGGCCTGGTGGGGTAGGGTGACCCAAATGAAAGCTGGCTTGAGACATTTGAACAGTGAGTAACCGTATCAGTGAATGTTTATGGAGCACACAGCAACCCAATAAAAAGACCTAGAAAAGTCAAACCCAAATGGAAAGAGTCTAATAAGGCCCAACTAATGGCTTTCAGACAAGATTCCCCGGGTGGCTCATCTCATTCTCGGTGGTACCACAGGCCCTGAATGAACAGTCATGGAATAGTAGGAGCTCCATGTTAGAAGGGATCTCAGGGACCAACCAGTCTAACCCATCCCTGAACAGGAATCCCTTCTATGATATCTCTAATAAGCGATCATCCAAAATGGAACTGAAGATTGAATTTCTCCAAGCTTAAGAATGAACCAGGAAGGAAAAAGCTTCTGCCTGGGTGAATTCATTCAAAGGTCCCTGACTCTGGTGTTTTGTGAAGCTGTTCTGTGAGAAATGCCAGAAGCCGGAGGCCAGGGATGCTAGTATGAAGGGAGTGGGGGAGGGGAGATGCCATTCACTGACAAATGGTGTTGTTTGAAAGAATATCTTTACTGACAAGGCTTTAATTTGTGGGATTATAGGATTTAGATTTGGGAGTCAACAATGAGGCCTTAGCATAGAACATAACATGGAAGAGCTAGAAGGATCCTTAGAGTATAATACTATAAAGAATTCTAGGACTGGGCTGAACATTAGAACTGAAAAATTCAGAGCTGGAAAAAGTCTATAAACATAAGACTGTTAGAGCTGAAAAGTTCCTTAGTGAACATCTAGTCTAGGAGTTTTTTTTTTATTTTAAGGCAATAAGGGGTTAAGTGACTTATCTGGGGTCACAAAGCTGGTAAGTGTTTGAGATCTGATTTGAACTCAGGTCCTCCTAACTCCAGGGCTAGTGCTCTATCCACTGTGCTACCTAGCAGCCCCTTAGCCTAGGAGTTCTTAACCCGGGGACCTTAAACATAAATTTTTTGATAACTATTTTTATGTAATTGGTTTCCTATCTAATCCTTAGCATTTTATTTTATGCATTGAGAAATTTTATTCTAAGAAAGGTTCATAGGCTTCATCTGACTGCCATTAGGGTCAGTGACACAAAAATAGTTAAGAACTCCTGCTCCAGTCCAATGCCCTCATTTTACAAATAAGTTTATCTTCAGCTGCTGCAGCTTTCAATAGCCTAGGGTCCCTGGCACATTATAGTGAGACATCAGAGGATGATTTTACTTCCTTCTTTGCTCCCCTCTTCCCCTCAGTATTTCAATTTGTACAATATGATTAGATGAGATGGTCTCGAAACTTCTCTGGCATTTTGTTCTTGTAATCTAACTTCTAACATAACTTCTAACCTTAGAACATTTGTGTGTTAGTATAAGGAATCCTAATTGGTGGAGAGAATGCTGAGGCAATGTTGCCTACATGTGTAAAGGGTAGAATTGGTTTCAGAGTTTCTCGAGAGAGGAAAAAGTGTGGTTCCAAGGACCTTTCAGGAGAGAGGTGGTGAAGTGTATCCACTGAGTATGCAGCCTGGAGTCAGGAAGACCTGAGTTCAAATCTTCCCTCAGACTGTGTCACCCTAAGTTACTTATATGCTATCTGCCTCAGTTTCCTAAAGTGTAAAATGGGAATAATAATAGCACCTACCACCTAAGGCTGTTTGGATTAAATGGAATAAATTTGTCAAGAAATTAGCACAATGCCTAGCAAATAGTAGGCATTTAATAAATCTTGTTTCCTTCTTTCCTTTCTTCGATTTCTGATAGAAATTTTCATCAATATATTTTTCTTTTTCCTTCACCATCATCTCACATGATCACAGCAGGGCCTAGAGCTGTCCAAGCAAGTCAGACCCTCCAAGACTCTGTTCCCTGTGCATTTGCAAAGAAAAACAATGAAACTCGAACAATGGCTCAGCCACTGAAAGCTCACTGTGTGACCCTGGGCCAGTCTTTTCCCCCTCTTCCCCATAGTGTTTCAATCTGCACAATGATAAGATTAGGTTAGATGATCTCTTAAGTTTCTCTGGTAGTCTATATTCTTGTTACCTGGACTTCCAACGAAGCCTGGACCTTTTGTGTGCTACTGGTATGTGAAATGAGATGTGACTTCTAATTGGTAGAGAGATTTACTATATAAGGGGTAGAGTTAGTTCCTTCTTGGGAGAGAAACAGGGGTTTTTATTCAGGAGAGATGTGTAGAGAGGAAAAGACTTTGGAAGCTACAAACATGTAGGGGAAACTGAGTCCTCAACAGGTCCCTGAATTCCAGCTTGCCTCCTTAAAGACTGTGGCTAGAGAATTTCTCCTTGTGTGAGTCCTCTTTCTCAGTCTGATCTGAGATCTTATCTTACTCCTCTTTCTTGCTTATTTGTTTATGTGTATTTTCTGATATATTCTGATCTGCACAGCTTCTCTGATTTCTATTTGCTGTTCACCTGGATAAATGGATTTTTCGCACCATTTGCTATTTGTAATGATATTTTATATAACCAGTGTTTGGTGGGAGGGAGTCAAGTAGGCAGGTGTAAGCTTGTGGCTACTCTTCCCACTAAGAGAAACCCAGGAGGTGGCATTTATTTTGACCTAGACTTGTACCTCTACACTAGTAATGTGTAGCCCTTCTCCTGCTCACCTCAAGGTAGAAATCAAAGAATGCCTTGGTAA